TATTATTTCCGATCATGATCACCTGTTTATCATTTACTCATTATCCCATCTATATATACCATGCTCACTCTGTCTGTCATTGCTGCTAGATTGTGTATTGTCTTCTGAGTTCATAGTTGTCATGTTCATCGTGTTTTCTGTTCTCTGTGTTTTGGATTACTTTTTGCCACGTTCTGTTCATTTGTTACTTTCATTAAACTGCGCTTGGATCTACCTTGTTTTCTCCTGGCATTCCGTGACAAGCGGTAAAAAAAGTGCTACCACATCACAAATTGGACCCCGAATTTTACTTGTCATGAAAGATTATCATGTGCATGTGTTTTTCCAGTTTAAAAGCATTCAAAAGATTTTAAACCGTCCAAACGCAAGAAATTGTGAAAGAGAACTAAATTCGGTACGTGAGTGCTGTTTTATGTGCACACACAGGGAGCCGCGTCTCTGACAGTGCACCATTACAGAATTGAGTTTACTTTTCTTTTCGCACTTAAACGGCCAAATACACATACAATTAAGTCAAAATGCCCATTTTGGCGAGTGTCCTTGTTTTGTGTGAAAACATGAATGAAGGCAGAGTGCTGAAAGAAATTAAATGAAAGAATGTATGAATTAATTCATTCTATGAATGCATAAGAGAGAACTGACTGTCTTCAGAAAAGTTTCTATGATATTTGCTTTTCATCTTCCTTCCGTGTAATGCCTAATATAGCAGTGTTTAAGGGTGTTCACACTTGTCATGTTTGGTTCGATTAAAATGAACTCTGGTGCGATTGCTCTGTTAGTGTGGTTCATTTGAGTAAGTGTGAACGCTGCCATCCGAACCCTGGTGCGCACCAAACAAGTGGACCGAGACCGCTAAAAAGATGGGTCTCGTTCCGCTTCCAAACTAGTGTTAATTTCGTTAACGCAATCTATGACGAAAAACTAACCAAAAACAGGAAGTAATGGAAGACGAGATGCGATGCTATGCAACATAATTTTTGACAACGCGAAACTAGCGGTGTATCCAAAACAAAATGAACAGAGGGCAACCGTGAAGCAACGAGGAGGTAAAGTGCTTTTTATGAGTTTGTGAGTTTGCTGGTGGTGAAAATAAAATCAAAAGTACACTTAATGAGTATGTTTACATGGACAATAATAATCCGATATTAACACAATTAAGACAATACTCTGTAATAAGAGTAGAGTAGAAATAAGAATCTACCATGTAAACAGAGATTTTTGATTACCTTAATCCGGCTAAAGTTATACTCGAAGTAAACACAAATCGAATTAAGACATGTGGAGTATTCCTATTTTAGTCGCATCATTGAAGTGCAGTATAGACATGTACACACCTTAATCACACTATTACTGTCGTATAGGACTTTTCGGCGCATTTTGCGACAGGATACACACACAGCAGTGGTCAACCCTTTGACGGCAAACAAAAGAGCATGGCTTCAAGCTGGAAGGTATATTTTTATCTGTCGTCATCTGTTTGCACGTGTAGCATGACATATAATTAACTGCACTTGAAGCTTTCGTAAAATTAGGTCAACCCTTTGACGGCAAACAAAAGAGCATGGCTTCAAGCAAGAAGGCACACTTTTATCCGCCGTCATCTGTTTACACGTATAGCATAACATATAATTAACTGCACTTGAAGCTTTCGTAAAATTAAAAATGAAACACCCAAAACTGTATAGTACCGAAGATGAACTGTATGTTGATACGTGAAATTAGGGAGGGAACGTCAGATGGCGTCACGTGGGAATGTAATGACGTGTGCCATTAATCGATCTATGTATTGTACTATAACTTGTAAAACAGGAACATGAAAGGAATATTCTAAAAGCAACTCATGTAAGTTTCGGTATCTTTAGGTTCGCTGTCAACAATGCCATTGTGAACGCCAAGCGTGAACGCCAAGCGGACCAGGACCAAATGTTTAATTTTCTTTTTTTGGTCTGGACCAAGAGAACAAGCTAATGTGCATTCTAAAAATCTCAACAGTAAAATGCCTATAATTTATGATTTTGATCCTTCTCTTAAAGTTAGTTAAAGACTGAAATGTGTGGTTTATCATTTCATAATTTATTTATTTATTTTTGGTCAAATCTAGTAGATAACATGTTATGTTGTAAGTCACCAAACCAATATTTTTTTTTTTTGATTGTTTAAAATCCAGCCATCATTTTTAATATTAATATTAATGTTTATGCAAACAAAAAGTGCACAGTGCTGCTAATTTTATTTATTGTTTGTTGGTTTTCAACATTACACACTTTATTCTTTTTCCCTAAATTATGTTAATAATAATAATTTTCTGAAAATATTATGTTCTTTGTGTTTTCATAATTTTGATAATCCATTGCATATTAAAATGGTACTAAAACTGACTATTGTCCTACACTCAGTAAACCCTGCGTATATGTCCACCCCCGCCACCCTCCCCCACCCCCGGAAAAAAGTTCAGGCTCAGGATTTTTTTTTGCTTTATCCCCTGAAATTAACTTTAACCTCACAGGAAACATTTCTTCGGGACCGGAATGATGATGGTAGTTTTGAAGCATGTGGGGACAACAGCCTGACTTAGCGAGATGTTGAATATGTCTGTGAAGACATCAGTGCGTTCCTCTGCACAGTCTCTCGGTACACGAACAGGTATGTTGTCAGAACCCAGAGCTTTGCGTGCATTGATCCTGCTGAGGGATCTACTCAAGCTGTCTGGGGACAGCGTTATCACCTGGTCACCAGGAGGAGGTGGGGTCTTCTGTACAGTGGTGCTGTTTTGTGCCTCAAATCGAGTGAAGAAGGCATTCAGCTTGTTCAGCAGGGAGATGGGGCTGTCACAAGTCCACGGTGGAGTCTTGTAGTCCGTAATGATCTGTATAACCCGACACAGGCTCAGGGTGTCTGCTGTCGCTGAAACTATGGACTATCCTTCTGGAGAACGATCTCTTAGCGTTTCTGATGCCACAGGACAGGTTGCCTCTAGCTGTCTTCAGGCCCACCTCATCTCCAGCTCTGAAGGCAGCGTTCCGAGCCTTCAGGAGTCTTTAGACCTCCCCTGTCAGCCATGGCTTCTGATTGGCCTGGACAGTGATGGTCTTGGTGACCGTTACATCATCAATGCACTTAGTGATGTAGGCAGTGACAGTCTCTGTGTACTCCTGGAGGTCTGTGGTGTTATTGTATGTGGCAGCCTGCTTAAACATATTCCAGTCTGTGGTGTTGTATATTATCTTAGTAGATAGAACGGCCAGCATTTAATAACCATGAACTCCACCAGGAGTGAGCAGTGTCTGCAGACCACAACAGCATTGTGGCACCAGGCATCATTGATGTAAACACAAAGCCCGCCACCACGGGTCTTGCCTCCCTCAACGAGAACTCTGTCTGCTCTATAGCATGTTAGCTGGTCAAGCTGAATGGCGCAGTCCGGGACACTGTTGCTGAGCCATGTTTCTGTGAACACAAAAACACATCAATCTCTTACAGTCCTTTGAGTTGAGCGTAGTAATTGGATGTAGTCCAGTTTATTGTCCAAAGAGCGTTAGTCAGTACGATGGTGGGGATATCCTAGCCCAGATACCTGCGCGCTTACCACTCTTCTGCTTCCTCTCATGCCATAGGTTTTGTAGGTTTGTGGCTTGTGATTGGCAAAGATCTGACTGAAGCTTGATGATCATTGAATTTTCCATCAGGGCAACCATCCCAAATCTACAGAAGCTTGGTCCAGGAATGGATTGTAGAATGTTCTTGAGTGGCCAGTTCAGTCTCCAGATTTAAATCTGTTTAAAAATATTTGGTGGGATTTAAAGAAAGCAGTGGCAACATGAAAACCAAAGATTATCAGTAATCGGAAAGCTTTTTCCAAGCTAGGAATGGGCCAAGATTCCAGGAGAGAGGTGTCAAAAGCTTGTATTAAAAAACTTTGTTCTCAGAGTCATTCAAATGTGCATTAGTTATCTTTATATGTACTGTATATATACACATTACATGTACACTCTTCTTAATAATTGAATTCAGGTTTTTCAGTCAAAACCATTGCAGAATAAGACTCACTTCAGATCCTGCTGACAGTCTCTGTGCAAACATATATGAATGTTTGTGACATTTATACACTCTTTCAGTTTTCTATTTTACAGCTTTTTACCTACACCCCATTATTCGGCTCTTCTGTAACTGACCATCATCTCATGCAACTGACTCTCCATCCATTTTTCCACTTTTGTGCAGCATTTGGCTGCCCGAGAGTCGGTGGTTTTATTAATTGGGCCTGTGTCTGGCTGAGGAGAGATGGAGAGAACCTGCTGCTCCTCTTTCTCCTAAAGCTGGTGACACACCAAATGGATGTTATACAACTAGCGGTTGGTGTGTCACTCACAACTGTGACCATGATGTATCGGATGGCTAAGTACTACACAGAAATAGCTTAGCTGCAAAACCGAGTAAGCTGCCTTGCTGTCTACTATTTGCATATGCAGCTGGTTTCTTAGGTAGCATCCTAACTGAAATGGAACCTCATAAGTGCCTGATTTGGAATGCTCTACATTGACAGCATCTCTGCACACCAATCAAATCCTGCACATTATGAAGCACATGGGAGACTCGACTTGCAGTTGATTTCAAGAGTTACTAGTACATGTTGCTGTCTCCAATTTAGCATAAATACACAATTTTTTTGAGATCTTACGGAAATTACCATGTTCTCCAAAGCATGAGCTGTGTTCCAGATTCCATCATCATAAAATTAGACACACAAATAACTTTTGCTTAAAGCTTACATTTATACTTAGTAATTAGTTATAAATATTAGTGAAGCTTTTGTAAGTATTTGTCAAGTTAATCAAGGCTTTCATTATCTGATGAACAAATCTGCGTGAAAATTTTAAGGGGGTCTGAATACTTTCCGTACCCACTGTATATTGTAATTGTGTTGCTAGGCAGAATATATTCTGCATGTGAGACTCTCACTCTCTTATGCTGCTAAAATTTTTATGTTTTATGTCTGTCAGCTGATTGTCCGTTTGAAGAAGGAGATCCAGTCTTTGAAGGAAGAGCTGGCTCTGGTTACTGGAGAGCAAAGGAGTGACAAGCTAACCCAAGAAGAGATCCAACAGTATGTACCTGCAATTTCTCACAATTCCTCACTCATCCTTTATAAACATAATGTAGAGGGGAAAAAATGACTAATAATCAATTGTGCTTGCTACTGGCATTGTTTAAAAGCATGTGGGATAGATCAGACTGAATGAATTGTTCACTATTTGGATTGTTTCGGTTGCAGCAGTGATGCAGTTAACAGCACACTGAATTATTTTCTATACTGTAAATATAGAAGACTAAATAATCAACTTGACATTGGCTATTGTGGCAAAACATTTTAGAATGTACCATATGTGCTGATGATCAGGTTTTTTTTTTTTGCTGCATTGATTTAATTAATCAAAAGAGTATACAGTATTTTATTTATTTACCTCAAACATGGCTTAACCTCTTTTTTTTACTCTCTTCACTTCACATATTTTGTATGTAACTGTTTATTCTGAAAACAGAAATATGTATGCTGTCTTATGTGCAGACTATGTCCCACAGTCAGTAGAGGTGATCTGCATTCTAAATGTATGTATTCTTTTCATAGCCTAAACCCCAAATGCAGGTAAATATTTAGAATATGTCATAATTAAAAGAAGGGCTTTTTATCATAAGGCTGCAAACATCCATACAAGCACTCACATTTTTATTACGTCTGAATGGACTTCAGGACTTTGACATTCAAGACCAATCTTTTGTTTACAGTTTTCATGTAGATGTTTTTCATACTCAATGCATAAACCCAGTATTAGGGAAGTCTAGAGTTAAAATGTCTGGATTCAAACACCTCTTTAAATCTTGTTGCCATATTCAGGCCACAAAAAGCTAATGTTTGAAGTGTCTTTTTGCAATAGTTTATCAATAGGTCAGCGTAGTGACTGCAATAAATTAAATAACTTTGCATTTCCTCAACAGAAATTTGACATTGAAAGAAATGTTAATCTTCTCTCATTAGTTGCATTAATTCAATTCAATTCAGTTCAAGTTTATTTATATAGTGCTTTTTACAATACAAATCGTTGCAAAGCAACTTTACAGAAAATTAAGTTTCTACAATATTTAGTAGTATCTTATCAGTGGTGACTGTCAGTTTATGTAAATATGGCAGAAATGTACGGAAAATTAAATTAAATACATAATCAAACAGACGATGAACACTATTAACAGCAATTATTATATGATCCAATCAAACTTATAGCAAAGTTTGGTAGTTCTGTATGATGTTTCAGGGTTGGCATCATCTGAGGTCCTCTGAGGGGTTGACATCATCTCTTCTCAGGTGTTCTGGATCCAGACTGAAGCTTGTGTAAATCCTAGTTACCACGGGATGTCAAAAACAGAGAAACAAATAGAGACATAATTAGCGTAGCTGCTCTTTGACTGTAGAGGAAGTAACAGTACATCCGTCTAGTTGCAAATTGTAATCCAAGAGATTCTGTGTACTGTCTTTTGGTCCAATAAGTAATATCTCTGTCTTATCTTAATTTAATAGGAGAAAATTATTGGTCATTCAATCTTTTACATTTGTAGCACACTCTGTTAGCTTAGATCATTTAGAAGTTTCATCTGATCTTATTGAGATATATAGTTGAGTATCATCAGCATAACAGTGGAAACTAATCCCATATTTTCTAATAATATTACTAAGGGGCAACATGTATATTGAAAGTAGCAGAGGACCTAGGACAGATCCTTGTGGCACTAAAAATAAAGTATTATACGCTGTAGAATTTACATTTGTTATTGTATTTCTGATGTTATTTATTTTATCAGTGAAGAAATTCATAAAGTCATTACTATTAAACTGTGAGGGAATATTTAGATCGGGTGGCGTCTGGTTATTTGTTAATCTAGCCACTGTGCTAAATAAAAACCTTGGATCGTTTTGGTTATTTTCTGAGTTTGTGGATATGCTCGGCCCTGGCAGGTTTTAGAGCCTGTCTATAACTGGACATACTGTTTTTCCATGCAATTCTAAAAACTTCTAAATTAGTTTTTCTCCATTCGTGCTCAAGACTACGAGTTTCTTTCTTGAGAGAATGGGTATTACTGTTGTACCATGGTGCACTACGTTTTTCTCTAACCTTTTTCAATTTGATGGTTGCAACAGCTTCTAATGTATTAGAAAAGATAGTGCCCATGTTGCTAGTCATTTCGTTTAGTTCATGTGTATTTATGGGTACACAGAGCAGTTGAGATAAATCAGGCAGTTTATTTGTGAATCTGTCTTTGGTGGCTGGAACAATAGTTCTACCCGGATGATAAAGCGGAGCCATATAGTTAATATCAGTAATACGCAGCATGCACAATACAAGGAAATGGTCAGTAACATCATCGCTTTGAGGTACGATATCTATATCAGTAAGATCAATTCCATGCGATATAATTAAATCTAGCGTATGATTAAAACGATGAGTGGGCCCGGTGATGTTTTGCTTGACTCCAAAAGAGTTTATTAGGTCAGTAAACGCAAGTCCTAATGCATCATTTGTATTATCAATGTGAATGTTGAAATCTCCGACAATTAGCGCTTTATCAACAGCAGTGTTAATTTCGTTGACGAATAATTTTCGGCATTTTTTTCACCAACGACAACGAGACGATAACGAAATAAAACTCTTTTTGAATGACAAAAACTGACATAAATCTATTGACATATTCATCAACGAATAAAAACGAGACGAAAATGTTTGGGAGGGATGATTTGGGAAGAGATTCATTCAGAACGAATCTGCTGCGTGATTCGGAGGTTAGATGCGAACATATGAACTGGCGGGACATGAGCTAACATACACTTGCTGCATGTCGCATAAAACGTTCAAAAATGTCAATATGTGGGAGTAAGAGAAGAGCAGACATATGGATAAATCTGACGACGCAAGAGAGAACTCAATTCGGTCCAGTTTTCTGAGCGCAGACACTGAAGCATACACATGGAAAGCGCGTCTCACAGCGTGCGAGTACTCTTTCGTGTCGCATGAATGGAGAATTACTCACAAAATTATGCTGAATTGTCCGTTTTGACGAGTATTCACGTAAACACAGTTAATTATGTCTGAAGTAAACGTAAACAGCAGGGAGAACGTGTATCGGTACATTGCATCAGTACAGGAACTTGCTACTGCCGATACATACGGCGATAAGGTGCTGTGAGTATTTAAGACATAATGCTGCTGCACAAATAGCATATAAAATAACCCATTGCAGATCTATACAGGTGGAGCTGGGGAAGGTGGAGGGTTTCAGAGAAACTCTAAAAGCACGCTGCAGGAATCTCTAGTAAATGCTAGCCAGTAGGGGTGTAACGGTATGCGTATCATGTAACGAACGGTTCACGGGCAAATTCCAAATGGAAGTGATCATCCCTATCCCCTTGGAGTGGGGACTTTGGAGTAAGCAGGGCATAGGCGTGCCATTATGTAGTCGTTTGGAATGCACTTGGCAAAGGGAGCTATGTAATTTCCTCATTATCTTCAGCTGGGAATATATTAAAAAATTATATATATAAAACGTTTTAAAATATAAAATGTATATTTTTTTATTCCGGTGTCCATCGGTGAATCTGCTGACGGACACCATGCTGCGTTGTCACAGGAACATCCCAGCTGAAGATAATGAGGAAATTACATCGCTCTCTTTGCCAAGTGCATTCCAAACGATTACATAATGGTAGTCGTTTGGCAGTTATGAGCATAACTACATAACTGCTCACTCCAAAGTCCCCACTCCAAGGGAATAGGGATGATCACTTCCAATTTGGAATTTGCCCGTGAACCGTTCGGTACACGATACGCGTACCGTTACACCCCTACTAGGCAGCCATATAAATGCAAGGCAGTAAGCTCGTTGGCTGCATATGCAGCATGAACCAATCAGCTTGTGCCAAGTTGTTTAACTCTCTGAATATCATCAGTTATGTTAACAACCCATCAGCCTGCGCCATCTAGAGATTCATGACTAAACTATATATTTTAATCATGACAACTCTCTGAAGATTTTAGCGTGGTGATGGATATGACAATGTTAATGTATTTGGTCTTGCGGAATAGATCTGCTACACTGCTGCTGCTGCTGTTGGTTATTGCTGTAGTTGTAGATTATTGCTGCTGCTGCTGCAAGCAAGTACAGGAACTTGCTACTGCCAATGCATACGGCGATACAGTGCCGTGAGTATTTAAAACATACTGCTGCTGCACAAATAGCATATAAAATAACCCCCTAACAAAGCTGGAAGAAAATAAAACAATTAAATATGTATGCTGCTGGTATACAATAATATGCTTAAAATCATCCCTATAGGCAGAAGAAATATAAACGGTAAAACCCCCCAGAACAAGCAGATCTATTGCCAAGACATATGTACTGCTGCTTCTCCGGAGAGCCATGAGACCGTATGTTTGCTATCTACGTGAGCCTGGGCCAGCTTTGCCGAATGTCGTTAACTAACAGGAATCACACTGTAGGCTGGTAGTTGAAGTAACCCCCAGCAACCACCTGACTCAGGCTCGAGCAGCCTGAGCAAATAGTTTTAAATTTGTCATTCAAGAGTTGTAATTTTTTTTCCCCCATTAACTTTCATCAACGTTACTGCAGTGGAAATACTTACCTTTAACTTATTAATAAGCTAACAAAATATTTGGCGAAAGAATAAATCACTGTACACCCTGTAGTTGTGGTGTCATATGCCCAGGATTAATTCTACCTCAAAAGCAGCTGCTCATTTATTTTGATAATTTAAAATATTTATATTGCATATTAAAAACAATAATGTTTGCATTGTATGAACACATCATTGCTAAAGGCATGGCTCGTTCCAAAGATGGTCTTGAGCAGGACACTACAGTGACTATATTTAATGCAGTTGTCTGCTTTTATATTAATTGTGTCCGAATTTTAAATTTGCATCATAGAAATGTTGTGCATACTGCTGCTGAGAAAAATCTCGATGACTGAATGCCTATGCAGGCTGCTGCTACTGCACAAGAGACTGAACTGCTGAGAGATCCATAAATTAGGCATAAGTAGCTAGGCGAATGCCTATTTTACCCTTAAGACGGTGTCTACGCCAGATGCGAGCGGCACAACATGACAAAGTCAATAGACCCGTTATGATTGGTAAAGCTGTCCGCAATGTATGCAGTGTGATACGGCCAACGCAACAAAACTTCTGCTGCTGCTGCTATGATAAATTTCACTAACATTTCAATACTGACTTGAAGTAGATGCTGTTGCTGTTAATGATATTCACAATGTTGTAATAGGAAATGTAGCGAATCAGCTCAAAGGGGAAATATGAATAATTAATCATAACTAGTTATAATTAATTATAAATATTTAGATCCACTGTAAGCATTCATTTGACCTCTCAGTGTCAACTGTCTGTTAATTCTAAGAACGTTAATTTCCTGGTTAAGGACAATAACTTTCTTACTGTACAATACTACTCAGAGCATGTAGCATAAATCTGCATGATTAGGGACTCCAGTTATGAGCAAACAATGAACAACG